AAGTTTTTACTAACTTATTAAGATAAGAAAAATTTTCTTAACTTTATATTACTAAGACATGATCCTTAGGCTTTACTTTTTTCTTGTTTTATCTTACTGAGGTCAAGTACATTTGTAAGACAACAGAACACATTTTATAGAGAATGCTTAGAGATCAAAGGAGAAGAGATAAAATTTTTTGCAGTTTTTCTATTCCTAGATTATTATTAGAAATGTTAAACTTTGAAATTTAACTCACAGAAGCTGCATTTTTACTCTGTAGTTTTTACTATGTTAATTGATTTTAACAAGAAACTCAACTCTTTACAGTTCCAATAAACAACTTAGAAGTTTTTACTCAACCAATAAGCATTTTGTAGGAAAAGACAGGAAAATAGAATTTTCTACCTTTTCTACCTATGAAACAGACTAGAACAGTATCATAAGGTGGAAAAAAGGAGAGTCCATAAATGTCTGGAACATGCTGAGAGCAGTGATGATCCTAATGCCTGGGGGGTTCCTTATTGCTGCTAATCAAAACATCCTATCTCTAGTCCCTGTTTATACATAACTTCCTATCAAGGTGTTGTAGCTTGTTATGCTAATCTGGTCATATTATCTACCTGGTGTTTTTGGCAGATATCCTCATACCAAGACTTTCATCCTGGTGAGAGGCTTCCTGCCTGACTCTACTTTTTAGCTGGACCAGAAGCAATTTTGAGCATCAAACAACATTTGAAAAACAAAGGAGGTTGGGGAATCCACTGTATTCCTAATTCACTCAATATTCCTAGGGCACTTAGCTTGTTTCCATAAGTTAGTTATTGTAAATAGTTTTGGAATGAACATAATACAATCACCAAAATATATATTTATTTATTGTAAATCAGTTATGGTCAGCACCAAACACAAAGGGCTGTAGATAACCTCTGGTGTTGACTGACACTGAAGAGCAACACCTTCATATATCCAAACTTTTTGTTCCCAATGTGCCAGACATCATTTTGTGATCTTATTTCATATTGAATATTCTGCAATTCCATGAAGGGGGGATTAGGAAAGAAAGGAAATTATAAGGAGGGTTAGCTATTGAATGGAGACTGGAAAAGAGTTTATTTCAATTTAATAATGTTTTACAACCCAATTTCATGGACATGAGGTTGTTTTAATTTTTCAAACTAGTATTTTGGTTTCTGATTATATGAACATATATACATGTTACAGTTTTTTTTATAGTTTAAGATACTGTAGTCTCTAATATCTTTTTTTTTAAGATTTATTTATTCATATAGAACTGGGGTACAGGCCAGAGATGCGGAGGGTGAGAGGATTCACCAGAGAGAGGAGCAGAACAGGCAGATTTACGAAGTATACCGCTGAGGGGAGCGGCGGGCGGGTCAGGAGAGGTCTGCCACGCCATGTGGATCTCCTCCGGTGCAGGCGGGGATCGAACTCATGAGGAAGTGGCTTAAGCTTCTTAGTGCTATGCTTTAACCCACTGCGCCACCAGGGAGGGCCCAGTCTCTAGTATCTTTTAAAAATGTAAATAAAAAATGTAGAAAATGATGTAAAAATAAACTGTTAAAAATATTTATGGAAGCATGAAAAAATGTAAATGATGGAAATGTTTAGAAAATATTTAGAAAATAATAATGGTTAACTGTATAGACAAGATGAACTTTATGAGTCCCGGTTTTAATTCTAACTTCTGACATTTTTAATTTCAAGGAAGCTTACAAGTTCGTTATCACCTGAGCAAGGAAGAACCCCATGTATTCACCATCAATGGAGAGAACTTTGCAAACAGAAGGATGTACTACTTAAAGATTAACCGAGAGGGAAGAGAGCTTACTATTCAGGTACTTATCTCTCTTCTTCCTCAAGCAAATGTACCTTGGTTTATTGCTAGAACTTTTCTGAAGTTCTACCCCAACCCATGTGCAGTGTCAATTTCTACTGACAGATGTGAAGCACATTTGACCCAATGCCTGAAGAATGGGAACAGTTCTCAGAGTGTGTTCCTCCCTTGAGAGAAAACTTAATGGGGACTAGTTAGCACTGCAAATCTCAGGTCCCCTATCAGATCACCTTAATCAAAACTGTCTTGCAGGAAAATAGGGTTAACAGGTGACTCTGATGTCCACTCAGATTTGGTAAAACATGAACTGGAGTATTATGAGGAAAATGCACAAACAATGAGAGAACCACAGGCACTGATAAGGGCAAAGGTAGAGAGGTGTATAGGTGATATGGGGGCATGAGAGAAGCACTGGTTCATCTGGGCATCAGTACTTATTAACTGGAAGAAGTTAGTAAATGTGATGAATCAGTCGTAATGTATTTTTCTTTTATTGCAAAGACAGCTTTATTATGCTTCTCATATTTTTTAATTAAAAATTTTACATATTTTTTTCTTATGTTTGCTTTCTTCTCTCAGGTGTATTCCCCATAGGATTTCCAACACCAATTCATCTGTACACCATCACCATAGTCCCTTGTGCTCTTCCCATCCTCATGTTTATTCCTTTGCCTCCTCTCCACTGTAGATTATCTTTGACGTATAGCTGTCTGTTTATTTTTTGTTCTGTACTGTTGTTGTTATTATTTCTTTTTCAAAATGGTCCTAAATGTATTTCTAACTCTAATCTTTTCCATGAATAACAGATCCATATATCCATCTACCAATTGACATGTCTACTTGAGTATCTATTAGGTATCTTCAATGTAACATTGTGTGGCTGTGTGTATGTGTTTGTGTGTATGTGTGTGTGTATGTGTGAACTGGAGTGTAGGGGTGAGAAGATTCACCAGAGACAGAGTGGGGAGCAAAACACTCAGATTCATTGAAATTCACTACTAAGGAGAGCAGCAGGCAAAAGAGGAGAGAGGTTTGTTGTGTCATATTTGGAATATCTCCCTGGTCAAGACCAAATTCAGGGTGTAGCAGTAATAACACTGAGACTTAATCCTAAGGCCACCAGGGAGGTCCTGTAACACATTTAAACTGGGTATCAGAGTGGTTTCCCAACCTTACCCCTGTAATCTTCTATACTTCAGTTTATGCTTGCTTCATTTTTGTAGTTGCTTAACCCTAAACCTTAGCATCACTTCTGATACCTCTTTGTTTCACAAGCAATAATCTGTTTATCAACAGTTTCTACCTGCTCCAAGCCACCTTCCTCTTCTCCTTGTCTATCCATTGACAGATAGCTGCTTCTTAATTTCGCCTCCTGCATCCGACTCTGGACACAGTGGCCAGAGTCACTCCGCTGAAAGTTAGTCAGGTCATGGTACTCGTCTGTTCAGACCCATTCAGTGGGCTCCTGTCTCAGAAGAAAGATAAAATGCTTTGTAGTCTATCAAAAGATTCCCATGTTCTGGCACCCCTGCCCCTTCCCTCTACTTCTTTGATTTATTATTCTTCCCTCTGTGATTCCACTTGTGCCTGTCTGGCCTTCTTGCTATTTCCACAGCCCTTGAAATAACATAGGGTGCCCTTTAGGGTATGGAAGGAAGAAGTCAGGGTTAAATTTCAGTGATTTGGTGAAGTTTAGAAATAGTTGCAAATATATGGTACAACTAATAATGTTTCTAGCATGTTTTCTTGATTTAAGGGGGCCAGCCTTTGTAACAAATTTGAGTTGAGAATGGATCAGAGGCTGGAAGGAAGTGGAATAATGATTTACTTGAACATGTTGACTGAGGTCACAGTGGGTCCCCAAACCACATTTTGTTGTACATTTGTATATATGACTTTTTCTCTGGTGAAGAAAGCATTATTTCTCTTCTTTATCTAAAATATTTCTAACAATTGTCTTAATAGTCAATTTCAAGCACATGTCAGTTAAGTGCATACTCTTTCCAAAGAAGTGAAGAAGAAAGAACTGGTGCCAGAGATATTATTTATTATTATTATTACTATTATTGTCATCATCGTCGTCGTCATCATTTAAATTTAAATAAGTCTAGTAATTCAGAACCATAACATACTTGCCTCCCTGTTACTCCAACCCTACAACCCTATTCTAGATCTTACTTTCTTCCTCCCTGCTTTAGACCACACTGTTCAGTGAAAACAGAACAGACTTTTCTTACATCCCCAGTTCTGCCCCTAGGCTCTGTGGATCATTACGTGTTATTCAGAAACTTCTAGAGATGGAAGGCAGGTTTCCAGAACCCACAGATCTCCTCAAAACCACAAGCCTTGAGCTGCTGTTCCCTCTCATCTATGTGCTTTGTGATCTTAGGAAGGAAAACTTGGGAGCTTGCAGCCAAGAACAAAAGCTCCAGGTGTTGATTTGAAAATTGTAATTCAACTAGTATTTTTTAAGGCACAGATGTTTTCTAAATATATTGATGATGGGGTAAACTTCAGTGCCCTGGTTAAAAAAAAAAAAA